CAAAGACACCCTTAATCCGGTTTGTCCACTGGGGGTAGAAGTAAAATAAATCTCATTTATCTCTCTTAAATTATGGTTGGTTTGGGTTAAAAGTTGCCGCAAATAGGAGAGAAAGTTTTCCGAATGGAGCCGTAGGTTTTCTTTCTGAATGCTAACCAAACATTTATCATTTTCTCACAAGGCCAGAAAAAGAAAAGGAGAGGATAAACTAAATTGGAGAAGCATTAAAATATTTTGTAACAGGAGTTATTTTTTTTGCTTACTGCCCTTCTTGCCAGGTCAAAAAATTAGCAGTAAAAAGGTGATAATTAGTAAAATTTCTCCCGCCAAAATTCAATTAAAATATTTATCTAAGAAAAACTTTTTCGGTTGAACAGTATTCACATTAACGCATTCTAAGCGAGAGAATAACAGGAGAGGAAGTTGCCCCACGTCTCGAGTGGAACTAGTGGCAATTAAAATATAATTCGATAAATCAATCGCCTCTCCAAATAGATTAGTATTTTGTTGGTGGTCGAAAATTGGTAATAAGGCATGTTCTAATTCTTGGCTCGTTATTTTCTCAATATTTTTAAATCAAATGATAGGAAAATTGCGGGCGGATATTGCTTGTTGGTTTTTGTTATCCTGATAGATTTCTTTAATTTTGGTTTCTATTCACTCGCCTTTTTCCTGTCCCACTTGGGCGAAATCAATAATATTTTTTTCCGGTATTTCCTGCTGGGCTAATTCTTGGTTATATTCCTCACCAGCAAAAAACAGAACCCACGAAAAATTTTTACTAATTCCCTCTTTCTGGGCCTTTTGTTTAACTTTTTTTTCTTTATTTAGAGTTTCTAATAATAATGTTTCACTAGTCATTTTTACTAATATATTTACACAAATAATTTAATTTCCAAATAGAAATAATTTTAACTAATAATTCAAACCTTCAGTCTCAATTATTAGAATAGCCAGCCGCAAAAGGAGGCTTTTTTGCGGCTTGGAGCAGATTCATTTATTTAAACGAGATATTACCACTGCTAGATATTACCACTGCTAGAAATATAGTAAAGATAGCACAAATAACCACAACACGAAACAAAAAAAATTCTCTTCAAAATTGCTTTCTCCACTTTCTTTCTTTTTTAGCACAAGGGGGGCAAAATATTCCTTTGCCCCCTAACGGCCCTCTTCAACTAGTTCAAGTAAGAAACACACTCCCTTTAATTCTAACCTCTTTTTCTGCCGGAATCTCTTTAAAACATCTAGCACACAACACCACATTTATTGCTGATTACAAGTTTCTTCAAAATCAATTGATATTCCTCCTAGAGGCGTGCTTATTCCCATTTTTTTCCCAACGCTAAGCCCAAAACCGACTGCTTTAACTTCTACACCACCAGAGCCGGCTGTAAAATTACTACCACCATCAATTCCAACATTTGCTCGGATGCCCTGCTTTGTGTGTAAGTTTGCCACATCCAAATTTGCTGAATAACCAAGAGTAGCACCTCCCAGACCTATTCCTGCCTCGCCTCCGAGTGAAATACCTCCAAACCCCACGTTAATATCCTCATCACCATATTTAACCAATGAACCACTAGCACTTCCACCTACTATTGCTCCTCCTACCCCAGCACTTGCTTCTGCTGAGGTTTTAAAATTAAATGAATGTCAATCATCCTCCTCATCAACAGACTTGTCGACATTTCACCACTCAGATTTTTTTCCTCACCTATTTAAAGTACTAATTAAATGCTGTCCACCACGCTCAACCTTCCTTTTATTCTTACTTTCACCCGCACAATGAACATTAGAAAGAAAAGTTTTTGCTAATCAATTGCTTTGATAATTATCTTGCTCTTTTAATTCATAAACTATCTCAATCGGCTTCTTATTTACCTCTATAGGTATTCCATTATTGTTATTTACCATATGATTTTTACAATTTATTTGATATATTTTTCTATGCCGTATTTACTAATTTTAACAGCATTAGCGACTGTTTTTAATACTCTGATAAGTGTCAAAAAAAACTTTAACAATTAGGAGAGTATTCTTTACCCACTTTTTACTTCCGGGGAAAGTCGCTACTAGTCTATAAAGGCTACTAGTGCGAAAGGGAGAAGCTGCTATCTAATTCTTTATATCTACTACAATAATTTCAACTTCACAAAATAATTTAATAGAATTAGATAACCATTTATCTGTTTCTCTTTAAACTTTTGTCATTCTCAACTCTTTATATAGGTTTTGTTCTATGATAGATAGAACTTGCCTATATAGTAATTTTATATTATTGATAATATTATAAGGTTTTGGATGTCAGGTTAATTTTTTTGTCGTTAGTGGCGTAAAATTTTCCATTAGTCCCTTTCTTTGCTTTTCTTTGTCTATTTTTGTCCTTTGGCAAAATATCAGGTTTATTTTTAACCTTATCAGATAAAATATCCTTGTTTGTTTTTGGGCTACTGCAAACTATTTTATCTATTTTTCTCAATATAATTTTCTTAATAATTACTGCTAACAAGAGAATCCAAATAATTCCTCCCAACGAAAAGAGGAAATAATGTTTTAATTGGGGACTAAAACTTTCTTGATAAGCAAGCACATTTTTTTTTAATCATTCTTTTGGGTCTCCTAAAGAAAATTCATGCCCATTTTCTCGAGCATAAATATATTCCTTTTTTATTTTAAATAACACTCTTTCAGTCTGTCTTATTCCTTTTTCATTAATATATTTAGGCAGTATTTCAATAATTTCCTTGGGGATAATTTCCTTTTTTTCATCTGGATAAATCTTTTTAATTTCATCTTCTATATCTTTTTTTTTCAATTCCAAGATTTTTTCTTTATCCTCGTCGCTATAATCCTCTAGTTTTCGCATTTCTACTTCTTTTTTTAAGGCTGGAACTAATTGTTCAGAGTAATTAACAGTAGCAAAAAAAGTAATGTAATCTAATTCAATATCCATCTGGTAATATTTATCAAATAATTTTTTACTTTTTCCTTCACCTTTATTCTTATACATTTTAAACAATTCAATTAAATCTCTTTGCACTTGCTCGTCACTAATTTTTTCCAATTCGTCTAGGGGGATAATTGGGTTTTTGCAACCACTTTTTAGCATTACTCAGGCCACTAAACTCGGTTTGTTTTCATCGCCTAAAATGGAATAATCTTTAAATTCTTTCAGTCCTGCACACGAAATAATTTGTAATTCTCCCCGTCCCATGGCCCGATTAAGCATCTTAATAAAAGTAGTTTTTCCTGTGCCTGGTTTTCCGTCATAGCAAAAAATTTCTTTCTCCGATTTATATTTACCATCTTCCACTGCCGCATACAAATAAACATCGCTAGCAAACTTGGCTTTTTCTCTTGGGAATCCGATATGGTTATCTAGTACTTCTTTGGCATTTTCCCCTGAGTGATTTTTTTTGAGAGGGTTGGCTAAAATTTCTGCTAATTTTTTTCTTTCTTGATCTTTATTATTCATACTTAATTATTATTATTAGAGTTTAGATTTTTTTAACATTTCCACTTTTGGTTGATATTTTTATAGATTATTTGATTTTATTTTTTAACTAGTCACCTTTTAAATCCACTAATAGTAAACATAAAATCTTTATTTTTCTGATAAGTATCTTTTAACAATTCTTTACAACTTTTTAAACCTTTGCCATCTAAAATTCACAAGAAATTTATTTCATTATTCTGGGCTTTTTGTAATACTCCACTATAAGAACGAATTACCTCCTGAACTTTACTGCCCGC